ACTGAGAAGCGATATGATTGGTAGTTACAAAAGTAGGTGTATAGAAATCTCAAACGATGCAAAATGCCCGCTTTTGGTGGTAGTTTTCCTACCCTCTTTTGAAAAACCACTCACAGCGGGATTTTTGCCCCCATTGACCGCGAAAGGGTTAAGGTAGTGATTGATAGAAAAGATTAAAGTACGTAGCATTTATCCCTAATATTGATAGTGTTGCATTTATGTAGAGTAAAAACATGCACTACCCATAGCAGGAAGAACTGCAAAATGGTAAACTACCGCATTACTACCACCTGGAATCTATGTTTAGTAAACATTTTTACAAAGCGGTAGACTACCATGTTGGAAAAGACATGTGATTGGTTGAGATTTCAATTCGAGGTCAGTTGTGATAAATCTCCTCGAAATCGAGGTCAGTGCTGTCCCAAAAGTAAGGCCGGTACACATTCATATAGTATGCCTATAAAAGCCTAATTTACCAGCCACGCTCTATTGGTTACAGAAGCATGCGCCACATCACAGGATCTTCTGCCTCGTATGTTACCAAAACGCGGGACCAGTTCTGAAGAGTGAATTATAATAACATATTTGATGGCAAGCTATAACAAAACTTTTCTGGACAAATTAAGCTGGGTATACTATTGATAGGGCATATTAGATGGTAAAATGCGAGGATAATGAGCCTTACTGAGTAAGTGAAAACGTCATCGTAGCCAAAACACAACCCAGAACGCGTCGATACTCGGTTAGCTGCTGCCACAACAACCTTTTCAACAAGATGTTCATAAATGAGACGGCTTTGCCATCTTTTTACATAGTAATAAGCCCCGTCGTTGTGATACTTTTATCACCATTAGACTCGAAAAGTCTTCTTTTAACCAATGGCTTTACATTCTACTAGTCATTGTGTCCGCCAAATGTTTACTGCAAGTTGCAGAAGTTTTGAAAATTATTGTGTTTGGACCAGATGCTTCGCATACGCCGGCGGCTATCTGCCGTGTCCTTCACGAAAGTACGAATTGAGTCTATTATAGACGGCTTCACAAGAAAATAGAAGGCCAAGTTCTATCATCACCATCCTTATCGCTAGCCCATTTGATGACGATTGCCGTTACCGTGGTTTGTACACGATGATTGCGTGAGATATTATCCTTCCGATTTCTTTGTTTAGTGCGAGAATAACGTAGTTCATTCCACAATTTACCTCGAGTCGTTAAGAAGATCAGTTTGGAGCTCTCTATCCATCCAGTACCATGCGCCTCAGCCACATTTTACTAGCAGCAGTCGGAATCCTTGTTGTGACCGTCGATGGCCTCGCCGGTGAAAGAAATAATATTCCTGCGCCAAACGTCCAGGTGGAATCTACCACTGTGAAGGAAACGAACGACACTATGGCGGGGAATACTACGGCGGGGATAACGGTTCTGCCGTCCGTTGAT